AGGGGTGTTCTTCCGATCGAAGGTTATTACCAGATTAGCTTCGTGCCACCGCAGTTAAGAATCTACAATGACCTAAATAATTAAAGTGCGCGCTTCTTCACTCCCTATCCAAGAGCTTCGAATCACTTGTAATTCCAAATAAGGGTACCCACAATATAAATAAAATAACAACAACAATTATTCTACTGCGGGAATAAATTCTATTTAATATTAAACAGGGCTATCTTCGATTTGGTATTTTGACTAGACAAATTCTGTCACCTGTCTGTCTCAAACAATATTTGTTTAAGTAACAATTAATAACTCTCGTTCCTCAATTAAGAGTACTAGATCGACAGATAATTTATACAGCTTAATATTAAGTGAGCCGTTTATTAATATCCGGTTAAATAATTAATATTAATATTGCAACGATGAAAGAAGTAAAATTTCGATTTCAAAGGGAATCGTTTATTTGACATTTTATTTCGTGGAATAGGAAATAATATGAACAATATTAACAACATTAACAACATGAGAATTCGACGATGTGATAAGGGCTGCTTATATAACTAGTGATTCCCAAAAATCGAAACAAAAGTTATCAACATAGAAATTTTCCAAGAACTAATAAATTCTAAGTTAACTAGTGGTGTTGATACTAATTATAATGCTGATGCCCAAAATACAAAACGGCGGTGCCTCTCCCCGATATAACAAATCAAAGGACCTCAACAGTCGTAAAAAAACTATTTTGCAATGGTAAATTATAAATTAGCCGATGATGCAAACCGACAAATAAATCCTCATGTACGTACGTATATTAGAGAATAGGAGACTTTCCTAAATGGGTGGTCAGAATTTGGTGAAGTCATAATAGTGTTTTCAAATGCATCCTTTTCTGACTAATTAATAAAATCTTTTAGTGTATTTGACGTAACATTTGAAGAGATTTATATTTGCCTACCGATAGTACATCTACCAGCCAACCACAAATTTCTTTTGGTAGAGTATCGACATTATCAGTCTTCATTATTATACATTGTTTGTTGACATTTACTGACCAAATATTGCATAGTTTGATCGCAAAGTGTTGGCTTTTGCGGCGTTGTTATCCCTTAAACCGTCTAGCGGGCAAGCTTAAATTAATTTTGACCAGTTTTTGTGTAATTGCTTGTGATTTACCTAATCTCTTTTCTAAACCAAAATGAAAGTGTAGCGATAATCCAAGTTTTATACCACAAAAAAGAAATACTGTTGGCACATTCTCTATGTCCCTAGTAAGAAATCCCCCCCCACAATATATCATGGAAAGGTATGTCCTCTGCAGTCAGACAAAATACATTACCTTCAAGTTCAACTTCCAATTTGCTCTTGAAACTACAGAACAATATACTGATAAGGATGAAGAATATGTACCTCTGTCAACATCTCGTCATCTCATAGACGATCTAGTCAGACATTGCAGAGGATGGAGAAGAGGACACCTAAAGTTAATCTTCGTAAATTATTCAGCGTACTAATCTTAATCAGATTTCTGGCTCACCAACAACCCTTTTTCAAAGAAAAATAATACAACCTGCCAATCTTTCGATATCAGCCTCGCCATGTCTCCCTCTGCTCCATTGACGAGAAATCTATCGATGTTCATTATTTGTAAAATCTACGAAGTTGGATCTTCACTGGAGATATCCCAAAAGCGACCAGCATTGCGGATCAGTTTGCTTAAAGTAGTCCATTGCGTTTCCACTTATTATTTCTTATTCACGAAGCAAAGAAAAAAAGGTTTATTTCAGGTATAGGTATTGCGAAAATGTGGATACGTTTACGGTAATTGTCACGCGCAAATAATAATCACATGACTGATTATTAGTGCATCTTTCATCCAACTATTGATATGTTACAACCCATCCGGTGCATGTACTATGCCAATAACTGTTTACATATATCATGATTTAGTTGGAATGCAATTTCTTCTCACGTACATATTAATGCATTTTATCGCGTATTAAAGGCAATATTGTCGAACAAATGTTATACTTTTAGAAGAAAATATTATGTACTGTGTTTTTCAGTACGTGGCTATTTTTATATACCATACTTATAAGATTATATGCACGATACATGTAAGTATCTTAATCAAGATAGTTATAACTAATAAATTGGAGGCTTAACTTTGTTCTGTTGACAGCTATTACAACTATGGTAAATTCTAAGATTACAACATATCGAATTAAAAACAAAAGAATTCTTATTCCAAGTGTTTAATTTTAGCACAACAAAGCCAGTTTTTTCCCCCGAGGATGACAAAAACAATAATTTGGAAGTTATGCACGAACGGTTGTTTCGATGATTGGATCAACAAATTCGGAAACGTAACTGTCACAGTCTAAAAGTTTATTTGAGTTTGGCAAACACCAATGACTGTTTAGTACTAATCGAAAGTTTGATCAAACGGTTATTTTTGGGACATACAAACTTTTAACCTTAAAATATTATTAATGTTAACAGTATCGTTACCGTTTAGAGCCAAATTTGGTAACTGACAACATACTATTAAAAAAGAGCTCCGTTCCATTTACCAAGTTAAACCGGACTTTGCCGTATGTATACCATTTGCTATTCGATTCATTGTTCGTAAAAGCGAAGTATTCTCGCCAAATAGCTAATTTCAATTTAATTTACATTCCAAAAGCCTATATTAGACTGACCATCATCGTGCTAACCTAACACAAACGCAATCTTTTTGTAAAGTGCCAGAGTCATTGTCATATAAATAGAGAGCGTCTGGCACCGCTATAAACCAAAACACTGAAACCAAATGGATTCATTGAGTTTCTTTGATTCTTCAATTGGAACCTCTGATTTAATTTTTTTCTTTTCAATATTGCTTATAACATATATCGGTTACTTTTATTTTAGTTACCTTACACGAGAAAACCCACTCCCCGGTCCTCTTCCCTTACCTTTTGTTGGCAATATTATTGACAGAGGTTTCGACAATTTCATTGAATACACAGAGCGCATGCGAGAAAAATATGGAGACATGTTCGAAATATACTTTGGGCCAAAAAGGTTTATTATGTTAAGTAAATACGAACACATTGCTAGTATGTTCGGCTATTCATTAAATTCAAAATACATGAGACGTGTACCGCGTTTGGCTGGATTAGAAGAATTGGATATTGCAGGGAAAGGCGTTGCATTAAACCATAACGTAAACACTTGGAAGTATAACCGACAATTTATTTCGCGATCGCTACTTGCACCAAGCTTTTCGGAGTATGCTGCTATTTGGACACAACGCTTGGTCAAAGAGATGATGGAGTTTTGGAAAGAAGCATCAAATGACGATGGCTGTTTTGAAACCGACCTTGTAGAATGGGCTCATAGATTTACAACCGATTCTATAACCCATTTCACGACTGGGAAAAGAATACACGCTGTTGAAGCACTTCATGTCGAATTGTTGGCATCAAAAAACAAGAGACTCTCCACTAATAATTTAACAAATGCTACCAGAATCTTTAAAAGCATTAGAACTTTAGTCGTTGGGATTTATTTCTTTATAATTGTTCCCTCATGGATGCGAAATTATCTGCCGTTTCTCAGCAATACCACCAAGAACTATTTAGAGAATCGTGATTGGTTGTTTAATAAACTTGATGAAATTATCAAACAACGAAGAAGAGAAATCGAACATACACCTCGAGACCAACCGCTTAGGCTTGATATGCTGACTTCGATGATTACTATAAACACGAATCGTAATATTCGCAAATTTGATGAACATTGCAAACCTTTGACTGATGAGGAAATTCGTGGAACGTTATGGGAAACATGGGTCGCCGGAATGGATACGGTACGAACATAATGACCAACTTTTTGAAAATTTAACAAATCGAAACAATAATCAAATTATGTTTCATTTTTTTAGACTGCCAATCTGTTCACCTTTATTGTCTACCACTTGGCACACTATCCTGATATTTTGAAACGACTACGTGAGGAATTGGACCAATTCTTTGAAAAGTTAGGCGATCGTCAGCTTGATTACAAAAGTTTGTCGGAATTAGTCTATACCGAAGCTATTCTCAAAGAAGTATCTAGAATTCTTACACCAGCACCTTACACGGCGCGAAACAGTACTGCAGAAGATATTCTGGAAGGTCGTGTATGGCCTGAAGAGACACAATATATCATAAACCTTCATGGCATAAACCACAGCAAAGAATTATGGGATAAACCCGAAGAATTCGATCCCGACAGATGGCTTAATAATACAAAAAGTGAAAAGTTGATGCCTTATGTGGTATTTGGAGGAGGCCGCCGTGTTTGTCCTGGCAGAAAATTGACTATTATAGAACTTAAATGTTTAATCGCTTTAATATACCATAAATTGGACATTGAATTGGTTGATGAAAAAGCTCCTTTGAAAACCAGGTTCATACTTCTTAGAAGTTTTTACGACTTACAAGTTCGAATTAAATCCAGAAAGATCGATTAAGTTAACAGTAAATACTTTATTATTATTATTAGAATTTGGTTTGAATTATAAATATGCAAATAAAATGTTAAATATAATTATTTCTCTACGTTCGAAGACGGTTTTCGAAAAGGATATTTTGAGAGAATGACGAAAGTTTTAAGGAGAACACAATAAATGGACGTGTCCAATTACCATCTTGGTCAAAACCACTCGTGTCGTCTCACGTATCACAATACTCTTATAACTTAAAATTTTGGCCGTGACAAGCAGACTGTACTTTTTTACGTACGGAATATTGCCTTTATTGGAATGCTGTCTATAATAATGAAAGGTAAGAATTCATGACGTCATAGTTATGCGCAGAAATTGCCTAATATTCCATAAATGCATAAATTAAAATGCACCTTTAGTTAGATCGGGATGTCACACAAACCGATTTTAACTTTTTAGCTGATTAAGTTCCCTCACAAGAACGTTAGGGCTTTGAAGTTTGATAATTATTTGATCCGTAGATCATAGCACTCTTTACATAATGAATACGCAGACTTTAGGTTAGTCTCATGAACGATTTCTAGGTTTTCATAGTAATAATTGTCTATTCAATACCATTACCGTCTAATTCCTTGTCACTATTCAAAAGATCTAGACGTCCTTCAACCGCAGCTCCAACCACAAGTTCAAGACCAACACCAGCATACGCTACAAACACAGGTAGCAGAACAAACCCAGGAGAAACCGGCAAGATTTCGAGGGTTCATTGCCGGCATTACTTCAGGTGTTACTAAACTATGCGTTGGACATCCATTTGGTAAGTTGTGATTAATATGATCCGAGAAAGAGGATTATTTTTATAGCTTGTTTCGCCATTTCAGATACTGTAAAAGTACGATTACAAACATCCGGTAACAATGGTCGTTTTCACGGAGCGATTCACTGTTTGATGGCTACAATACGAAAGGTAACGTGTTGTCTCCGAGGTATCATTATCAGACATCCAAAATAGCTAATTAAAGGATTGACTATTAAGGAGGGCTTTTTTGCACTATATAAAGGTTTGCTCTTTAACACATTTCGACGTCAACCCAAGTCGCAGGCATGTAATCACCCTATATAAATGTGCTAATAGGTGCAACACCTCCATTAATTGGATGGATGTTTATGGACAGTATAACGTAAGGCTTCAGATTATAAATGTATGGTTATATAATATGTAAACGACACTAATACATAATCCACATATTATAAACAGGCTTGGATCTCTTCATAATTTTCGGTTATTTCTAAAGGGCAATGATCCATCCGCGCAACTAAACCTCTTCCAACACGCATTAGCTGGGTTTGGTTAGTTTTGTTATCACTGAATAATTAAATAAACGTATACTTTTACATTTACCATTGGTTCTGCTTTTATATAGGTTCTGGTATGGTAGTGTCTTGTATCGCTACGCCGGTGGAACACATAAAGGCAATTATCAATACGGCCGTACTCTTGTCTCTTATTTCTCTCAATCAGAATATACATGAAGACTGCATTTGTTAAATAATCAACATTGACTAATATTATTTATAGGCAAGGTTGCAAATTCAATACGATGCAACGACAAAAACGTATACAGGTCCGATCGACTGTGCTCAGAAATTAGTAAGTTGAGTGAGGGTGCAAGAGGAGTTAGAGGACTATCAGTGAGAGAACTAAGCACATTACGGATTGATATTACAGACTATTAACTATTGATTTTCATGATGGATGTGTAATCTTGGACGAAGATACGCAATAATGGAGTGTTTGGGCTTTGGAAAGGAATGGGAGGAACCCTACTTCACAGGTGTATATAATTTTCGACGGAGATATTTTGCAGAATCTGGATGCTTTTGTTCTTCTAGAAAACTCCCCACTAACGCCCGATAAACGTCCTCAGGTCATGGTTCAGCGTATTATGGAGTTCATATGAAGTAAGCTCTCAATAAACATCCTGGAGTTTTTGTCTTTTCGTAATCTAACTAACCACTTTCATGGTCTTGAAAAGCTTTACTCCTCATACTTGCGCAAAACGGGTTTAAGTGAGCCAATAATCAATGGTCTTGCTGGCGGGATGGCAGCCAATACATTTTGGCTATGCGCGTATCCTTTTGGTGAGTCTGAAAAGTGCGAGATTAGAATGACAGAACATGACAAGTGTGTATTAATTCACAGTCTTATTAATAGACGTCGTGAAGAATCGGATCATGACACAACCCGATATCAAGCCGCTTCAACACCCCAGCTGGATTAAATGCTTCAAACATCTTTACATTACAGGTGGGCGCTTACGAACAACTATTCTTTAACCGTGAATAATTAACTCATCATGTTTCTTGTCTTGTACACGCGATAGAGGGTTTCTATGGCTTTTATCGAGGATTCATGCCATGTTTACTGAGATCGTTTCCCACAAATGCGGCGGCTATTGCCGTTTGGGAGGCAACAATGAGGTCACTGAAAGCTATTGGTTATTAATGAAAAAGATGACGCCTGATCGTATTATAAACAGCAAAGTTGCCCATAGAGGAATAAAACGGAACTAAATCATATGCAGATATTGGGTACTAAGATGGAGGGTAAAACCTGCACACTACAAAACGTCTCGTTGACAACAGAATTCTAACTAAACAATGTATCACATTTTATGGTTTGTATCCGACTACCTCTAGATCGTAAATTGTATGCTCTGCTCTATGCCTGCAGTAATTCCAATAATTATATGTTTTCGCGACATTATCCTAAAATACTCCTAATACAAGAAGGCGGGAGAAGAAGATTTTTAGTAGAAATGCCAAATAGAACTACAAGTTTGAACTTTGCATTCCCTCATATCGATTTCACTTCGACATGATTGTGAATGAGATATGATTCAGAGAGCAACAATATAATATACCTTTGGGAATTGGATTTGAATGAAGCATTTACTTTTTGGTCATTGCAAATGAATTTATGAAGGAATATACAGATTTAAACCCACTAGCCACAAACTTCCTGCGACAATCTTGTTTCAGTAAACGCAATTGCTAGCAGTTTATTGATAAAAAAATTAGAACTGTTCCAAGCCCCTCACTATAAATGACATTTGATATTCACATACGGCTCATTATATACAATCACTCCTGCCGAACCGGTAGTACTCAACTTTTTGAACGACTCTTGAACTCGAAAAGTTCATCGAATGGAAGTCTTCAATAAATTCGTAAAGATTTAAAATATAGATGGTGAGATACTAAATTATATTAGGTGCTGCATTTTCAATGAAAGAGGCTTACACCGGGTCACCATTTGTATCATATATCGGTGTTACTTCTATTGTAGGTCTGCCTACGCACCTAAGGAACAGGAATGAAGATTAAGCGTTAGAGTTCAAACTTCATTGGCTGTGTTGACTCTTAAAGTTTCATTCTTACCGTTTGAAGATTCTAACAAATGGTACACAGACAATTTTTTTTCCAGTGAGATCACATTGATACTGTGTTATTTCAAAGTACTTGCATTTGGAACCTATAGTCGACATCTGACAAAGTGTAAAGTGTATGGATATAATATATTATTTGTCTAGAGTATATGATATTGTGTAATTCCATGTCACACAAGATGGTCATAAAGCAAAAAACCGCCGATATTAAAGCGAATTTCTTTGCGTCGTGATTGAGGATCCATGTGTAGAGGGATGCTTAGTATTTTTGTTACAGATGAATAGAATTGTGCAAAAAGCCCATGAATACCATGTTCAAGGAAAATGGCAACTGAAAATTATCGGAATCAACTTTATGAATTTAGCGTTATTATTATCTAAATTTATGAATAATGTGAATGCGGAATGCCAGTTATGAATGATTCAATCTCTAGATGCGATGAAGTTGGTTCAATATAATGGTTTTTTCTAATAAAATTGGGCTCGATATAATGACATTATATAGCGATTTACTGTATTAGTATTAGTATATAGAATTTTCGGAATAACGTTAATATTTCAAAACAGTTGAAAAAACATTTTCAATTAAGCGCGATTCTTTTAAGAGGAAGCAATTAAATTTCAATCTATTTCGGTTTAAACGGTTAGACGATTTGTTCATTGACAAGTTAAGACGCTCTATATTCACCTGCTCTTCGGGACTTCGAGAAATTAATTCTTAATCCCGCTAATAAAGAAATCACTGATATAATAATGTTTCATGTGACCAAAAATAATCCCTATTATTGTGATAGGCTTACTTACCCGTCACCTAGTGATTTTATCAAGAGAAAAGGTGATGCAATTAATGCAATTTTTCAGAATAAAATGAAATTCTCGCCAACCAAGTACGATTGGTTTGAATGAAGGATTAAGGAACCGCAACCTCCACTGGCACGTGAAAATGTTGTTGGTCAAGATTAAAGCAGAATATGGTTTGCTTTATACTGTACACTTTCAATTGGTTGGCACCTGGGAGAGAGTTTATGTTCAGCTTATAGATGACAACTTTGTTAATGATCGGAATGCATAAAAATCTTATGTCTGCTTTCGATAAAGTGTCGTTATTATTATCATTAGTATTTACACATAACTAAACCATTTCAGAGGAAGAATACTGTAAGCAACGTGGCTTGTAACAACTACAGCGCCTTGTAGCTAGATTGGACATAATAATAACACATCAGGCTAGCGTGAATAAATGTATGAGTTTTCGATTCTGTGTTTGCAATTCCACATTACGTGAATTATGTGCAAAATAGGTTAAGAATGTTCTATTTGTGTTTATGTATCGAACACGTCATATAAACTCGGCTTCGCTCGTGGATGAGAAGGCGTTGTTTATGTTCTCTAGAACGGTTTGTGAGAGAAATCTCCCAGAACACAATTTTTTGTCCCTTATTTACCGTAAGAACCATGTCTGAATGAGAACAGCAGCTTTCTAGCGGTCCCGGCTGGAGACCCGTCATCTTTAGGGGCCAAAGTAGAATTTTAACGATTAATGATACTAGCGATATATTTTATTCAGTATCTTACAGATTAACGTAAATCGATATTACAATCACCCGCGATAACTTAAACCATGTCAGTTGCATATTATTATAAGTGTTAATGAAGTCGGCGAGGCCCAAGTAATAAATGTAAAACAGTATTATTATTATTATTATGGTAATGCTGGCGTTTAAGATGGCTTAATGAGAGATATCTTATCAAACTCTTTCGGGATGTTTCCATTGGCAATTTTACTGATACAAAACTAATAATATAAGCAAAGCAAATGTTAACAGTAGGCTGTTCAGAAGAAGAAATGAGTTTGATCTCGTCATATTATGTTTGTAAATTTGGAGTCCACAATGAAGTCCATTTTTGTTGTCTGACGTGCCATAAATCGAGACTATTAATTTTTTGAATCTATCCTGACGTATCATTCTAGAACCTGAACTATTTGGTAAAGAAATCATCGGAGCAGTTTGTTCTTCAAAATATTCTTCAGTGAGATATTGAAGATCTAACAAAGAATGTGCGCATCGTCGAAAACGATTCCACCATCAATAGCCAACACAATGTTACTGTAACATGAATATTATATCATTATTAAAGATAAGTGCGTTTATTGTGGAACTCGTCTCGTTAAAAATACAGTAAACTGTAACATGTGTGTACAATCCAGTTCAGTTGTAACTGAAATCAATATAAAATATCATCTTCAGGAAATCGTAGAATATAAATACATTTGTGTTGGTATAGCATACTGTATATACACTTTTACATAGCACTGATCAAAGCAGCAATCCCCATAATCACCATAAACCAAATCTGGCTACCCCATCTCGCCACAGCAAGCCTCTCAGCCCCGCCATAAGCACTACCAGTTGGTTTGGGCCCAGACGTCGCTGTTTGATCATATCCAGAGGCATTCCCGGCAAGAGCACTACCTGCTTGGCATGTTGCTCTAATCTGTTCCACAGTTGGTGGCACAGAAGTGTTCAATAAGGTATTCGTCTGTCCAGTCTGCTGAAAACAATAAAGACATAATGGATACACCTTGAGAAATGTATCGCCGCATGCACATTTGAAAGCGTTGAAAAATCCAGCAGGATCGAATATAGCGTTCCAAAAGTTCTGAAGTATCGCCGAAGAGCGGATGCATGAATCAAACGTTGAATAGTCTTTTTGGCATGCTACGCAGGAGGGTATTGATGGGTCAAAATAGGGTGTTGATTGAGACAGTGTGCCCGGAAGAGAGATTAAAATGATGATAATGATTAGGATAGAAAACGAGGGACGGGAGAGAAAGAAATGAGGAATCGATATATTATTGAACGAAAGGCGGAGCGATCGGAAAGATGACATCTTGTTTGGAATCATGCAATTGAGGAAAAAGGGGTTGTAAAGCTACGAAAATTCTGTGAATAGGTACGGAGAGGATGACAGATTGGATGAGAAGTTGAATAGAGCAGCTACCGTTAGATGCGACAGTCGTAGCAAGAACAACCAGACAACCGAATAAATGAGTGGGTTGTTGGACAGCAAATAGACGGCTGTTATGAATAGCAGTGGGACATACAATTGGTCTTTGATATCGTTGATGTGACTCCAAGCTTTCGTTAATATGATGACAAGATGTTTCAATGATCAAGAATCTTCCCGTAATTCGCAATTATCTTAATAACAACTCCTCCGATATCAATGATCATTAAATAGTTCCGGTAGCTTGACGACTCAATCTCGTATCCTCTGGGAATGTGAAGAAGATTAAGGGGGGAGAAAGCATGAGAGAGTCAGGTTAAAAAGGTGCAATACTACGCGTAACCGTTAATGCCTTATTTAGAAAGTCTCATTAAGGGGGGGTGACGGTATACTGTATTAGTATGTTATTATTATGTGTTACTAATACTCACTAATACTAAACCAGATGTGTTTAGCGTCATATTGTACACACGTTTCAGATACGGAGTATGATTGAATCAAGGAATCCGACTTATCGAGAGGATTTAAATATGAAAAACAAAGTACAGAGATTTTTCCGACTTATTGAGTTTACCTATACAAGCAAATTGGATAAACTCGTGCTTCCAAACTTAGCATCAGCAGCTTAATACTCCTTGAATAGCGATGATTTTCGGCATAAGAGCATTCCTCATAGTACTTAAGCTGCTTAATTTGTTCGATTATGAGCTTTGTTGGTATTAACTTGGAAGGAGCCATTGAATATAATAGGTTACTTTACAGGAATCTTTTGAGTTGCAACCAACTCAGTAAAGGTAATTGACGGATGGCAGTGGTTATAATATTAAGTGACTGCTCTAATTTTATTTGGTCACTCTTTCTGATACCTCTTGGACCAAAGATAACAATTATACCACGTATTTGCATAAGGTAAGAAATTAAGAATCAAGTAGTTTACTGCATTATGAAAGCCTACGACTGCATAGAATGTCAATGTCTTGCATTTAATCAATAAATAAGTAAGATCTATTACCTAGCGTGCAATTCTTAACCTTAAGACAAGTTAGTTAAAATTTCTCATTTAATTTCTCATCTTTGAAATAAAAAAGTCGGGTAAATCAAGATGATAAAAAATATAATAGAATTGAATCGACATTGGCACAACTTAAATTTACATAGAAAAGAAGTCTATAATTTTAGTCCCTTGACAAGTATTGTATTGGTGTTGGAGATTTCAAAAAAAACAAACAACTCACTATTGTCAACTTGTATTATGTAATAGGTAATTAACAGTAATTTTTGTATTGTTTTGATAATTTTTCGGAAAAAAAAAAACAAACCAAAAACATATTTTCTAATAATGTGAATTTTAATTGTTCGTTATCGTTTCGAAACGTATAGTATATTCTAATGGTAATACGGGCAATAAAATTTACTAACAAATCGCCAATACTTTTTTGTACAAAATTGATAGTAGTAATTTTTCCTGGTTACGTAACTAGAATTTACTCAGTATTCGTGCTTTTATGTAAGCCTATTATTATATGCTATACTATTCGTTAATTATTTTATTTACGCAAATATTGCACGTGTTTGTTTATAAAAAAAATCAGCAGATTGGAGAACAAACGAATTGACACGTGTAACACTTAAAAAGATAATTGACGAAGGGGATGATCAGTTATTTGATTTTCATCAGGTATTAGTGTTAACGTATGTATCACGCGTTTAAATCGACCAGTGTTGTAACAACCGCATTTGTTTACTCATATAGCTAACTACGGAATACCCGGAGATATTAATTAAAAAGACAAAATAATATTAATAGAATTAATAAAAATTAGGAAGAATTAAACTAAATAGAGTTAGCAGTAAGTTCCCACCATCTACGTATAATGTTTTCTTCAAAATGGTTGGTTCCACGATGAAATTAATGTTTTGAATTCATCCAGAAGTAACAAGCCATTGAAAGGGGTCCAGCTCCCATCTTCTGATCTTCTGCTTGTGAGAAAAAAGTCTTAAACTTCAGTAGTTGACCCGTTGTTCAAAGAAAAGGAAGCCTATCCGCAGGTAACCTTCTAGGGGCACCTCGGCTTATTAATATCTAACAATAAGGTTATCAAATATTCACTTACGTAACGTTTGTGTTTAGTAAATGAACCGTTTAAAGCGTAGCCAGGTCGCATATGAAACAGCTTATGCGATTGGGTTGGGAATGAATTTTATTTAAATTAGATGATGGCACAAAGGCGTACAATGTAAGTAGTACAGAATTTGTAGCTAAATTAGTAGACGCGATATAATATAAGGAGCATAAAAATTCCATTGTTAAAGATTTTTGCTGTGTAGCCGCGTAGTGTTGTTAAGGCGTTTAGGTGTGCTATTTATATATCAATAATACGTTTAATAGTTTATAAGTAAATATTAAATATTCACGCTAAATAAAGACTAAGACCAAGTGGTGAAAATAATAAGTCATCCCCACACATGAACGAAATTATACTCATTCAAACAGCAGGCACGAGGAAAAAGTCGGAAACGCTTCCAATTGACGAATCACAAGTCATACCCCTTATTAATTATACTTTCCTTGTTGCTAGTTGCTGGCGGCAGCGCTATCACTGAAAGAGTCGCTTTCTTTTTAAAGAATTCAGATGGGATTAAGCTAAAAATTAAATCACTCTAAAAGGAAGTTACTTAAAACTAGCATCCTAAACAACAACAATAATAAAGCGTTCTGATTGTACGTTGACTAAACTAAATCAGATTGCCTATATTCGAATGGTATATAGAACAATAAGTAACGAACTTATGTAATAAATAAAGTCGCCCATATGATGTCTAAGCCTAACAATTGTGTCTCAAATCCTGTCGTGTATTGTTGTAGCGTGCTTTAAATACTAAAAAGTTCTTATATGGATGAAACATGATACTTGGGAGATGTTCGCAATTGGATAGAACTGCATCGAAGTCACGTTACTGCATATTTTTTCACCGATGGCATCTGGCGATTCACCTTTGTTACTATTACTAAGAATTAGAATGATTTACAGCAATACTAAAACGCTCAGTGTACCGAGTCCATCTACAACGCCGCAATCATCACCATCACCGCGGCCTATATTAAAACGAACAATGAAGATTAACTACTACGCGGATGAGATAGAGGGATTAGAAAGGAAAAGAGTAAGGAGATCAGAGAGGAGAGTCAAGTTCATTGATATGATTGAATTGATTCAGTATACTTATAAGGAGGATGAGGAGGACGAGGATGACAATGATGACAATGATGATAATGATAATGATTGTGATGATTGTGATGATTGTGATGATGATGATGATGATGATGATGATGATGATGATGATGATGATGATGATGATGATGATGATGATGATGATGATG